ATGCAAATAATAAAATGTATATAACGAAATGATTGGTTATCTCGAAATAGCCGACAAATCAGTGTACAGAGGATGCCAATTTTGGAAGTGGAATAAACCACTCTTAATCCAAGCTCTACCAATTTAAAGTAGGAGACTCGGGTCAATGATGTCATATCTATTTTCATTGCCAACAACACTGGGCTCAGCACATTCCAAGGTATTTCACAATCACCATGTCACTGTCTGAGACATACCATTATGCCACAGGGAGAGACAGGATGTATGTATCTCAAATTCTGCTGACAACACAATCCAGTGACTGTATCAGCAGTCTTAAAAATAAACATGTGCAATGGGTTGTTGCAAAGTATACAAACATGTGCCTTTTATTTCACACAGCCAGGGCTCTGTACTTTTCACTTACAATTTATGTCACATTACATTACTATGAAGAGTTTAATGAGGGTCGGCAAGGGGTATTTTCGTAAGCTGTAATCAATTGTTTTTATTTTCGTAATAATGTAATTTAAATAAATAAAACACGTAAATTCTTAGACATGGGCAAGATGTAAAATGAAATCAGCTATTTTATTCTCTCCGTAATTTGTACAAAGATATTATTTTTTGTACACGTATAGAGCATTTGCCGAATTAAATGTCACAATTCGTACGCAATTTCCAATTTTGATTCTTAAACACAAAAAATATTATAAATATTATGAATATAATAAATATTATAAAAATGTAAAATGTAATTATGAATTTGCTTTATCTGTGAAGTGTAAAAACTTATTTTTTACTGTAAATAGAACTTTCATTTTATTTCCGGTAAAAACGTAAAATGACGTTTAATTTCCTGATACCTGTCACGGTACCAGAAAAGTTGCTCAAGAAACATTTCTCACGCAAAGACAGGTTTATTTATATTACGAAATAGTTTTTACCAAACACATTAGAAAACACATACATACATGTATGTCTTTGGTTTTCGCACGAGATATGTAGCTCAACCTGTGCGTGCGTGTGCATCGTGCATAATGAGCATCAGGGGGTGGAACAGCGCCCTCACATAAAATAAGTCACATCGACGAAAATCCTAGATGACCCATAACCCTAAGCAAGATGGCGGACTTATCAACACAGCTGTGGGATCTCGGGAACAAAAATCGAAGATATTCCTACGCCATCGGGATTCTATTTATTCTCAGCGTTGTGTTCACCAAGTAAGTATACCGGAAGTATAAACAAATAACAACCATTCATATTCACCTTGACGGAAAGCAGCTAGTTCCCATTTCAATTGTCAGGACATAATAAGTAAATAAATTATTAGTACCGAATTGTTTGTTTTAATCATACAGCCTAAGGTATATAGGGTCATTCCAGTTTTTGTCCACACCCCCCCTACGGATGGGTTAAATCCGAGGGGTCATATTTCTACAAAAAGTATGGATGGTCCAATTCCGAGAGGTGTCATTTTTTGACTATTTTCTTTCTATATCCACACCCCTACAGATGATTTAATTCCGAGGGGGGTCATATTTTTGATATTTTTTTTTTTCATATCATG